CACTGTGCACACCACGATCAGCCCTGCAGAGGTGGAGGGGGACACAGAGGGACAGTGGGTGAGCCCGGTGGCACGGTGCCACCAAGCCCATACTTCCCCGGCCAGGATGTGAAACCCCCTCCCACGAGCTGCCTGTCCCCGGGGTCTCACCGAGCACCATGTCGTCATTTGAAGGGATGGGGGACGCCTCCACTGGGTACTTCTGGACCGCGGCAGTGGTGGAGGTGGAGGGGGTGGGGGCTGCCTTGCTGCTGGCAGAACCCCGCTGCAGAAGCCCCTCTCTCAGCCCACTGGCCACGTGTTGTCTGCCGCCGGCAGGGACCGAGCTGGCTGTGGGAGAAGGCAGAGCCGTGAGCAGAGCAGTGCCCGGGCAGCTCTGGAGGGCAAACCAGCCTGGGGTGCAGGGTCTGGCTGCCACGGGGTCCCTGGCACTGCTGCAGAGAGCAGTGAGAGTCGGGGAGCAGGCACTTACTCCTGGGCTTGCCATCCCGCAGCGGGTGGGGGCGAGGAGCCTCTTGCCTGGCCAGCACGTCCGCCAGAAAATCGATTTCTTCCTCCAAGCTGGGAACGGACGTCCGCCCTGCGCCGGGAGAGAGCGAGCGTGAGACGGGCACCCCGGGGTGCGGCCGCATGTCCAGCTCCAGGGCCAGACCCAGCATCCCCCCAAGAAGGGGCTCACATCCCAGCATGAGCAAATGCGAGTGGTTTGGAGTCCAAGCCCACGCAGATGCGGCCCTCTGGCACACCAGCGGTCCCAAAGCCCAGACCTGGGATTTGCACGTCCTCACCGCTTTTGGGATGCTTTTCTCCCCACAAATGTTGGAGGCTGCAGGAGCAACAGCGGCCGCAGCTGCCCCTGTGCCGGAGTCAGTAGGTCCTGCAGAGCCCTGTAGGAGCAGGCAGGCTGCCAGTACCTGCTGCTGAGGACCTGCCCTGTGTCCCTGCACCTGGGGCCATACAATGGCCCTGAGCAAGGAGGGACATGAGCTGGACCAGGAGAGACGCCCCACAGCTGCCCCGCTGCTGCGGAGTGCGAGGGACAGCTCTGGCAGGGCAAATCGCAGACCCGCTGCGGGCAGCGGGGCCGTTTCAAGAGCAGGCAGGGACACCTGAATGCTGGTTTTCACCTCAAATTGTCCTGTACGGCCCAGGGGCCTGGAGCCACCCCAGAGCAGGGCTCGTCCGGGGCTATCCAGGAGCTGGTGGGAACCCTTGCTCCAGATGAGGGGCCGGCTTCTGCCCAGCGCCTGGCAGGATGCGGCCGCTTTGGGAAGGGGGTCGGGGTGCCCCATGCAGCGAGGCCCATCATGTATCCCCAGGGGCTGGCTGGGCATTTCACGGGTGGCTGCCCCAGCCCATGCCCTAGCATATTGCATGCTGGGGACCCACAAAAGGCTGGGTGCCCCTGCAGCGTGGGGCATGGGCAGGACCCCACCCCAGCCTGGGGGTGCCCACCCACGGGGTGACAGCGTGGAGGAGTGGACCTGCTGTCCTCAGGCTCGCCGAGCAGAGTCAAGCTCTGACGCTCACCACTCTGCTTTTAACAGGATTAAACTCAACTTCAAAGGCAGGAGACGTCCCCGTCCCCATCCCTGCTCCCTCTGCCCCAGCACTGCTGTATTCAGGCTGGCCCCAGCGGGAAGCCCTGGAGGGTAAATCAAGACATACAAAGGCGAGGTGGTACCGGCAGCTCAGTGCCTGGATAATTCAAGGTTGTAACAATTACAGCTCCTCTGGAATCTGTCCTCGCTCCCAGTGTTTGGAAATAAACCCCGATTCCCTCCAGAGCCAGGCACAAAGGCCACTCAGTCACCCCGTGACTCAGAGCCACACAAGCCAAAAACCAGTTTAAAAAAGGGACACTCTTGCTTTAAAACAAGTGTATGAAGAGCCACTGTCCCTATGTCCCCTGTGTCCTCTGTCTCCCCGAACCACCCCCCAGCCTCCCATCCTTGGCAGGAGCCAGAGCACCGCACAAGCCCCGGGTTTCCCCGGCTCTTTGCACCCTGTTATTTCCACCCCCAAAGCCATTTGCAAAGCAGTGCCACGGCCACGCGGTGCCAGGTTTGGGGCTGTGCCACCCCCGCCGTGCCCGACGGGTGAGTGCCGTTGTGCCAAGGTGCCAGCACGGGGCCAGGCTCTCCCGATGGGCAGGGGAGCTGGCATGGGACTGAGCGTGGCAGCCCCGTGCCCTGTGGGGACAGCCCCGTGCCCAGGAGGGGACACCCTGGTGCCTCATGGGGACAGTCCTGCTCCCGGGATGGGGACAGCCTGGCTCTAGCTCCCCGCTGTGCTCGGGGAAAGGCCTGTCCCCATTCCCATGGGACCCAGGGGACAGCCCTGCCCATGCCCATGTTTGTCACCATCAGGCCCGGGGGAATCAGGCTGCGTTGGTGCTGCCATCAACGGGGCGCATGGCCCAGCCCTGCCCCCCAACACCCCTTGGCCTTGGGCAGACGCAGCTACAACCACCAACGCTTCAGGACGATGAATGTGATGTGGTTGGAAAAGGAAAAAAAAAGCTGGAAAACCGGCAAGAGCAGACCCCAGGTCACTCTGAGCCTCCCACCACGCGAAGCGGCACAAGGACAACCAAGGCAGCTTGTGCACAAAGCAGTGCCTTGGCTGTGCCACTCACCTGCATCAACCAGCTTTATCGCCAAGTTCCCCTTCAGTGGCTAAAAATCCCCGCACCCCTGTTTTGTTCGGCAGCTGGGATTTCCCCCGGTGATGCCACATCTGTCACCCCACAACATCTGTGGGGCAGAAGCAGCCTGGCACCGACGGCCAGTTCCTGCCGGGGACCGCGGGCGGGTGAAAAGCTGCGGCGAAACACCGGTCCAGGGCTGCTCCCCAGGGAACAGGGGGCCGTCGCTGACCCCCGATTCCTGCCCAGCTGCCCCAGGCCCTGGCTCTTGCTGCAAGAGGAGCAGAGATGGGGGCACTCCCAGAGGTCCCCCCAGCCCCGCTGCAGAGAGTTGGGCATGCTGGGCAGGCACAGGGGGCACGCAAGGCATGCACAGGGCACGGAGGGTGCACGCAGGGTATGCACAAGGCATGCACAGGGCACGGAGGGTGCACGCAGGGTATGCACAAGGCATGCACAGGGCACGAAGGGAGCACACAGGGTGCACGCAGGGCTTGCAGAGGGCACGGGTGCCCTCTCATGGTAGGTCCCACCACCTGCCTGCAGCAGGGAGGGCACGGCCAGGCTGGCACGCAGCACCCCAGCCCAGCCGCTCTCCCTGCCCGGCCCCTCCTTGGGGCTTCCCTCTCCCCAGGGTCTCCAGGGCTCAACCCTGGGATGCACACAGGGGTCTCGCCAGTTACCGTGACAGGTTTGGGGACAGCAGGGAGCGAGAAGGGACACGTGTGGCTTCTGCCCCAGGCAAAGGAAACCTGAAGTTGACAGTCTCCACAGGAGGGCACAAAATTCCTACAAATCCACTTATTTCTACAAATCCACTTATTTCTACAATCCTGCCCCAGGCTGGCTGATGCCTTCCTGGCTGCTGACAACACAGCAAGCGGGGAGGGGGGAACCCCCAGGTCCAGAAGCTGAGACCCCCTTTTCCCCATCTTCCCAAAGTGCTTCCCGCAGCCCGGTGGGGCTCAGCCCTGGCTCCGTGCTGGCGGAGTCAAGCGGGAGCAGGGACGGGACCCACCAGCCCAAATCACATCATGCAAACCCATCGCGGCACGTTCAAACGGCACGCAGCACTGTGGTGCTGGCAGCGTTTTGGGGGCTCAGACCCCCGTGCAAGCAGCGCCAGCAAGGTGCAGGCAGCCAGCTGTCCGCCCAGCCGAAGTGGCTGCGGGATGCACCATGGCATGAGGTCCCGCACATCCCATCTCACCTCTGTGCTGGTGCTGTGCTGGGTACGCCGAGACACCCACGCACGCCATCACCAATGGCAGGAACACGCCGCTCACGTGCATCGCCCTCCTGAGACCCCAAAACGCTGCTTTTCACCCCAAAAAGCTGCTCTCGGCGCCTGCCTGCCTGCACGGGCACGCCGGAGGAGAGGAGCCCCGGCTGCTGCCCACGAGCTTGCTGGCTGCTGCCAGGAGCCGCAACCAATCGGGGGGATGGTGCGGCGGCG